TCATTCATGTACTGTAATTATTACTGAACCTGGCCAAAAGCAGTCTCAGCACAGCTTATCTGATTGTGTACTAATGGCTGTAAAAGTATGATAAGGAATGTGCACAACAAAAACATCTGCTCCTTACAGTATTAGCAGACAGGGTTGACTTATTACATAATCTTAAACTGCTTGATGGTACAGGGCTTTTGTTGTTGTTACAGGTTAACACTAAATGTCAGTTTGGACATGGGGTAATTAAAACATCTGTTATCGGAGTTATTTCTCTTTGTGTGTTGCCTGCATAGTGTATGACATGTTAGAGAGAGGTTATTAAATCTTGGGATTCAGGATGAAAGGTACTCAGAGATGCTTTTCTTCTCTGTTAGCGTCTATTGTAAGAGACTACACTTGGTATGCATCCTTTTGCTGGGAAGATAACAATTGACTCAGAGAGAGTCAGCAACTACATTTTTGTTCCAGCAAGAATTTTTCAAAAAGTACATAATGGTTATTGTTTCTATGGTAGCCAAGAGAACATAAGAGTCTGGTTGCCAACTGTTAATGCTGCAAAAGATAGCTAGTATTGCAGATGCAAGAGTGCCTGGAGCCACCTGGCTCTGGAGAAGAGCATTCTTCCTCATCAGTCTCATTGTTTTAGGAAATCTAGCTAGAGCTGTTGCTTTTCTCCCCTACATACAAATCAGCCTCTTCCTTGAGGCCCATGGTATAAAACAAATTATTTACCTTATAGGCTTCCTTCCAAAGTATTTGCTCTCCAAATCATTGCTTTCACAGATATGAAGGCTAAACTGATTAATATCTTAAGCATACACTGCATACAATTGGTTTAAATGGTAGTGAAGGGTGCACACCACTAATAGTTTTGTTAAGCATATCTGGAGGCTGCCATTCCCAACTGAAAGACTCCCCATGAGATAAGTTTCCTACATGAGAATTAATCAAAACAAAACAGAAAAAATAATTTTCCAGATTGGAAAGATTTTTCAAATCAGTTTATATTAATTCCAGTTTAAATGCTTAGCTTGTCGAGAAGTGTACAATTGTCTAAAAAGTACAATCTATACAAAGTGCTAAATGTTGTGATTAATAATTATGCACAAATCTGACAAAGCTACTGAAAAACCCCCCAAATCCAACACATTTCTCTGAAAAAATTGAAAAAGTGGAATTACTCTGTAATAATTCATGAATATTATATGTTATCAGGATATTTACTATAGGAATATGTGTGCTTTGAAATAGGGGTTTGTTAGGGGAAAACAAAGGGGAAGGAAGATAATATCTCAAGATAATCCACCCCTTGGTAAATATTTGTGGGCATGTCTACACTAGGAAATTATTTCGAAATAACTAAATTCAGAATAATAATTCCTGAAATAACTATTTCAAAATGAGCTTATTCCCCAAAGAAAGCTGTAGTACAGATTTCAAAATTATCAGCCCGTTATTTGGAAAGAATGGACTTGGCAGTGTGGACACTCAGCTTATTATTTCAAAATAAGGGGTTTATTTTGCAATAATTCCCTAGGCTATGTCTAGACTGCAAGCCTCTTTCAAAAGAGGCTTTTTCGAAAGTATCTTTCGAAAAAGAGCGTCTAGACTGCAAGCGGAACTTTCGAAAAAGCAAGCCGCTTTTCGAAAGAAAGCAGCGAGTGAGTCTGGATGCTCTCTTTCTAAAAAGCCCTGTTGGCATTCAAGAACGCCTTTTTTCGAAAGAGCACTTTCGAAAAAGGCGTTCTTCCTCGTGAAATGAGGTTTACTGCCGTTGAAAGAAAAGCTGCGTTCTTTCAATTAAATTTCAAAAGAACGCGGCTGTAGTCTAGACACAGGTGAAGTTTTTTCGAAAAAGGCTACTTTTTTCGAAAAAAACCCTGAGTCTGGACACAGCCCTAGTGTAGATCAGGGTATAGGGTTATTAAGAGACAGTGTTGGAAGTGAAGGCACCCTGGAGCACAAGATCAAAAGGACTCTGGCAGTTAAAAAGGGGGATCTCTTGCACAAGAGGAAGGCATTTATTGGAGACCAGTTCTGGGAAACCAGACTGACATTGAGAGGTACAGTAGGGACCAGAAGGAAATTAGAACTGCCCAATTGTCTACACAGAACAGTTATTTCAAAATAACTTATGTTACTTCAAATTAACAGTGCGAGCCTCTACACAGCAATTCCACTATTTTGAAATACTTTCAGAATAACTGATGGCTTATTTAGAAATCTGTAAACCTCATTTCTCAATAACACTTATTTTGAAATAGCTATTTCAGAGTAGCAGTAGTGTGAATGCTCCACTGCTGCTATTTTGAAATAGCTCCTCTCCAGGGCCATTCAGAGTAATTACTCCCCAGTGCCTCCCTGGGCTCTAATTCAAGGAAGCACATCCACATTAGGGAAGCCTCTGTCAGACTAATTTTGAGGCTTCCCTGTAGTATAGACGTGCTATTTGGGATGTGACTAGCCAACTAGTCACTTCCCCTCCTCCCTTTCCCCTGCTTGCCATCTCTATCAGAAAGAGGCAGCAAGCAGGGGAGGAGAGGAGTGGGTACTTCAAAGCCGTAGTGCCACTTGAAGCCTAGGTCCAGATCCCGGACTCCAAGTGGTGCTGCCGCTTTGAAATGCTGCGAGCAACCCAGGGCCAGCTGCGGTGTCCCCACACTGCACGCGGCATTTCAAAGAGGCAATGCCACGTGGAGCCCAGGATCAGCTGGGGACTTCTTTGCTGATCCCAGGATCCATACAGTGCTGCTGCTTTGAAACGCTGCAGGGAGCCAAGCATCAGGCTCTTCACAGCATTTCAAAGCGGCAGCACCATGTGGAGCCTGGGATCAGCTGGCTCTATGTGGTGCTTTCGCCTTTGAAGTGTAGCAACAGCAGTAGGTAGGGCTGTTGCTACACTTCCAAGACACAGGCGCTCTATCAACTAATCGAATAGTGAATGCAAAATGCATCAACTATTCAATTAGTCAATACTTAACATCCTTAATTTTGAAATAAGCTATTTTGGAAAAAAATTCTGAAATAGCTTTTTTTCTACATAAGCGTGCTGTGTAGACTTACCCTAAGTGATTATCAGTGCATGGTAAGTCTTAGGTAAAGTAGACATGAGTGTAGACCAAAGTAAACATGGTATAGTACTCTGTTAAATATAAACTACTTTAAAAGAAAGGAATGTTAAAATAAAAAGATTTGATAAGGTAAGGAAACTGTTTCTGTTTATTTTTGTTTCTGAGCTTTTTCATTTGAATTAAGTGGGTAATAAGCAGCATATTTCTTCTGCATAGTTCTTCAAAGCTGTCTTAAGTCAGGGTTCAGTTGGAAATTTTTGAAAGAACAACCATAACATTATGGACATTTGAATGTTGCAAAAAACTTCAATTTCTCAGATGTTCATCACTCTAAGGATCTACTGTATTCCACTTGAGTTACAGGAGAATCTTGGCTTAGCTGTAAGAGTGTAGCATATTCAGCAATTCTTTCATTATTGCTGAATCCTGGCCAGGATTAAAGGAGACCCTATGTGATTAAATGATTTATGAATTAGAAATTCAGAAAGCACCATTGCCATTCAGCAGCCTGAATAAAGAATTATCTGGACATTTATTACTAATGAGAATTGTCTCTTCTGTGATGCTACATGGAGCAAAGAGGCTGTAAGACACAGATAACCAGTTCTGATTCCATTTATTAGAAGCCAGTTGTGCACACATGCAGGCACATGAGCTCATGCACACACACAGAATGATATTATTACAGTGCATAATTATCAAACATTTTGCCATATCTTTCCATCTCTAGCTGCTTATATCACTATACAGAGGTGGTGAAAGAGAGAGAGAGAAACAGAGAGAAAGAGAGAGACACAGAAATAGAAGGTGGTTTCTCTGAGTCATGGACAGTGTTTTTCTGCTTAGTCTGATCACAAACTATCCAGCCCACTTTGCTTCTGACAAAAAGCTTATTTCATTTAATAAAGTTATGAACCTCACCCTGTATCATAAAAAAAGTCCCCGAGGTAATCTTATATTGAATGAAAGGAGCCATAAAACTGCAAATATATATTCAAAACATTATCTTATTATTTCTACAGTGGTGTCCGGATTAACCCACACCCAGTAATCCAACACTCCGCTTTATCCGACCCTGCGGCTCTCGGCCCTGCTTGTTGACCCGTCCCCCGCAGGAGCAGCATCAGTTGTTCCTTTGCTCTCTAGGAGAAGCTACTGTTGCTGTCGCTCCTGCCTGGAAGTGTCCCGGCAGCAGCTTCTCCTAGAGAGTGACAGGGCAGCAAAGTCCCTGGGTGCTTCAGTCTCCTTGAGAGCAAGGGAATAGCTGATGCCACTCCTGCCTGGAAGTGCAACGGAACAGCTGATGCTGCTCTGTGGGGACTTCGTCCCCGGCAGGAGCAGCATCAGCTGTTTCTTTGCTCTCTACAGTAGAGTCTGTATCATCCAACATATTCGACCATGTGTCGGTCCTGTTTAGGTCGGATGATAGGGACTCTACTGTATTTAGAATCTATGTCTCATATTGGGACAGATAGCTACACAATATTCTTGTTTTCTGTCCAATTAAGAGATTTTGCAGGGGGAAATCAATACAAAACAAACAAAAATCAACAACAAACAGCACTGGAATTATATAACCTGATCTGTGCTACTGAAAAAAGTAGTTGAAAAAGTAAAAAAGTAGCAGAGGAAAATGTTTGGGCAAATAGAAGGATATAGATGACAAATTTTCTCTTTTCATTTCAAAGAACTTTACTTTTTATGTCAAACCAGCAAATTTTTAACTTGTATATTTTATTGTCTGTATGAATGGCTAGGTAGGGAATTCATAATTGGTTACTTAGTCAATTCCCACTTAGCTGTCTTATAAAAACTTGGTATATGCACCAAGGAATTTCTGTGAAAATGAAACCCTGCAAAATAACTGAACCAAAAATTAGATGTGTCACATTTTAATAAACAATGGTGTCTAATTATGAAAGAATATGTACTTACTTGCCCAGTGCGAAGCACTCCATCTTAACAGTAGTTCCCTTAGCAGCTGTAACTGTGTAAGGAAAATGGACCTCAATTTTCGGCTCATATTCTCCCATCACACCTGGGAAATAAAGAATGATCTTTAAAAATAAAATGAATGTCACTACTTCTTTCCAAGCCTAGAGACTTTATTGTGAAAACCACCATGGCATGATTGTTAATAGCTATATAGAGATAACGCCTGGGGTGGAGGGAGGGAAGTAGCTTACATTAGTTTGACTTGCTCTGCTCAAATCCTATTCATCCCTTGTTCATTGGTGTCTCCAGTGCTATGAAAACAGCAGCACTTTTAAAAGAAAAGATTTAATTCCTCAAATATGGGTTCAAATTATATTTCAAAAGATTGCCATGTACTATCAATTCTGGAGAGTTGGGAAATTTAATGTACAACATCTTGGGACAATCAGTGATGTAGCGGAGGTTAGGATAGATACATCAACCAAAAACTTAGCAAATAACCTTTTAGTATCCAGTCAATATAACACGTGCCTTGTATCAAGGACATTCAGACATTTGTAAGAAAGCAGTCAAATGGTGTGAAAGCATGTTGCTCTCCTATTGAAAATAGTGTACAACCGCAGAAATCCCTCCCAAAATGTCAGCTGCATGGCTATCACTATTTATTTACCAGCATAGAGCTGTTGAAAATGTACAATAAAGACATTCTGGACCTTTTAAAAAACTAGACATTGAAATCAATGGAATCAGCCTGGATTTGTCCTGGTGTAAATGACAGAGGAATTTGTTTTGAGATAGGAAATTGAGAGAAGTTTAAGAATGGGAAATGAGCAGTAAATGGAGAAAGATTCATTAAGGTGAGACGAGGAGTTTTACTTTGATATGACTGAAAGCTGGAGGTTGTCATAGAATGGCTGGGAAGCAGTTTGGCGTTAGTCATAGTATTTTTGGTTAGACTGCAGATGGAGTAGGGGAGGGAGCTAGGTGAGAATTCAGGAGGCTAATGGAGAAAGGTACACTAACCACCTTAGAATTGGTGAAGGCATGGACAAGGCTCTTGGTCTTGAGGAAAGAGAGAATTTAGGTGATATCAAAGTTGCAGGAATAACAGGACTAAGGGGCTGGAAAAAATTGCCACAGAGTACAAGAGTGGGCAATGGGTACAAGGGGGAAGCAAAATAAGAAACTGAAAGAAGGGGAGATAGGGAGAGAAAATGGAAGAGCATGGGAAACAGAGATTGAGCCTTACAGAGAGGAAAAAGAGGGAGAAGTAGAATGGCAAGAAGTGTTTGGAGCAAATAATCAATTTGCAGGGTGAAAATAATGCCAACCATTCAAATGGTAAAAGCCCTTTGCTGATGTCTCTGAAAATCCAGGATGTAGGGCAATAGGGGATCCAGAGCTGGGTCATGTCTTGCTGGGTCACTTGGTAAATACCTTGTCCTGATTAGTCCCTCTGAAGCATTTGGTACTGGCCAACATTGGGAAATAGGATACTGGATAGCTGGACCAGTGGTCTGACCCCATATGGCCATTTTGATATACCATTGTTGTTATGAATCAGGTTAGTGCTTGAAAGGGAAACTGTCAGTAAACACTCAGGTTCTGTAGCAAGTGATGTTGATACATTCTTATTTCTAAATAAATACTGAATCAGTGTCCTAGCACAGTAACAGGACACTATGCTGTTGTAGGAACATTGCCTTGTGTAGCAGTGCAAAACCAAGGTCTTGACCCTTTTCAATGCTAAAAAGAGTCACTGATTTATTTATTTATTTTGCAAATAAATGTATTAATTCTATGCCTGGCCAAATTGTAAGGGGCCACTAAATGGTCAACTAACTAAAATCTTCTAAAATGTGTGATTCTTGGCTTTCCCTTTCTAAGTTGTTTTGTTGTTGTATACTATTAAATAGCTGCCTTGTTTCAACCCTGAAGTGGTTGTATATTAAAATGAATGAAATAATTATTCATTGATCAAATCTGGAAGATGCTATTGGTTAAATTCTGGGTCCCAAACTGAGTTTTACACCCATTAATTAGAACTGTCCTGTGTAAATGTAAACATCAGATTTTTCATATTGATACATTCAAGTCCTATCTTAAGGAGATGCTGATCTGTCAACATTTTGTATCATGTCATATTCATGACAGCTAATGTCATGTAAACAATGAGACTTCCTGATTGCAGGCGTTCACGTTGAGATGTAACAGAAGTATTATAATATCCCTTGTCATTCCACCATGCTAACACTGTGAGAGGAAACTGGGAAAAGAAAGGAAAGGCTACTACTTCAAAGGGTATTTTTCATTTGTATTTGTATTTTTAATCTTAGAATTCAGTGAGGCTGCTAGATTTGCATGAGCATCAAAGCAAATTTATCAAGGCCTTAATGTCCTGTGTTACAGTATACATTCTCCGTATGACTGCTATTCCTACAGGCTTGTTCTTCTTTCCTATTTCTGTCTGGTCACTATGATTCAACAACAATAATCTAGACAGGATTTGCATTTTCATCTGCAGTTTCATTTCATTTGTATCGTAAATGTAGGAAAGTGATAAAATGAGCCCGAATGTTTAACAAATATCAACTGAGGATATAATGTCAAAATCAAGTATGTCTCTTTTTTGTTTAAGTGTTTCTTAAATCGTTTAAAGTTCTAGTTATCAAACCACATATGTAGATCTATACTGTAGGTGTGGCTTTGGTAGTGCTGGGCTTAGAAATTTAATAGCATATACACTGAAACCTTAGTGTATAATTCTGAAATGAATACCAAGGAAACTGAAGAGAACATATGACCCAGATATTATTGTTAGGGGGCAAAATGCACTAAGGTTCTCCACCTCTCTCTCCATGAGCATTCCTTCCAAGAAACAGGTCTCTGTCTGTACTTCTCCCAAAGAGAAAATCTATGGCTCATCCCACTCTAGATTTCATCACCAGTCTACAGCACCTCATGTCACCAATGTATTTCCCTTACCTGCCCAACTGGATTTAGGCCAGTTACAGAATATTCTCTGTATTGTTAGGGTTGCCAACTTTCTAATGGCACAAAACCAAACACCTTTGACCAGCCCCAACTCTGCCTGTTCCCTGAGTCCCCCCACTCCTTCTTTGCCCCTTCTTTTAGGCTCCAACTCCCAATTCTGTCCAGAGGATGAGGGTTCGGACTGGGGGTGTGGGCTCTGGGGTGGGGCTGGAGAAAGGGGCTTGAGGATCAGGAGGAGGCTGAGGGCTGGGTCAGTGAGTTAGGGTTCTGGGGGAACATGAGGGCTCTGGCTGGGGGAGGGGGCAGTTCAAGCTCTGGAGTGGGGCTGGGTATGAGTAGTTTGGGATGCAGAAAGGGGCTTAGGTTCTGGGATAGAGGGGTTCAGTGGGCAGACGGAGCTCCGGGCTGGAGCCAAGGGTTTTGGGGTATGAGAAGGGGCTTGGCATTAGCACAGAGGGCTGAGGCATGAGGGGGTACAGGGTACAGATAATACTTTCCTAAGGTGGCTCGCTGGAAATGGACAGCAGAGTTCTACAGCTCCGAGGTGGGAGGCCAGAGTGTCTTCATGCACTGCTCACACTCACAGGCTCCACCTCCACAACTCCCATTGGTTGCAGTTCCTGGTCAATGGGAGCTCCATATGCCTAGGAGCTGCAGAGATGTGCTGGCTGCTTGCTGGGAGCCATGTGGAGCCAGGGCAAATAGAGTGCTTGCCTTAGCGCTTCTGCACTGCCAACCAGACTTTCAGCAGCCTAGTCAGTGGTGCTGGTAAGAGCCACCAGGATCCCTTTTCAACTGAATGTGCCAGTTGACAATCGAGTTATTCAGAACAGCTTCAAAAATAAATATGATGCATTCATAATAATTTAACATGCAGAGAGATACAGGTCAAACCAATCAAAACCTAAACTGATCCTGGGCTTAGCATTTACTTTTCTATCTAGCTTAAGCAGGACTTCCCTTATTTCAGAGCCCTCTTTTTAGGTCTGAATCTCAACCTTTATTTTTCTTCATCTCTTCTTTGTCTCACAGATTTTCTCTCCTCGGTTTGACAACCTGCTTTTATTAACACCAAAGCTCTTTGTTTCAGTGTCCCATCAGGATCTTCCCCCACAACTCTTGCCAGCCAGAACTGAGTGAAAATGAAACTTGAAAGGGATGAACTCTGTAGTGTCATGCCCAGTAGTGCAAACAGTAGGACTAAGCACAGCCAGTCCTGGGAAGCAAAAATGAACTCTTTTATGGTCACATAACCAGAGACACAATAATAATCAAATAAACATGGACAATTAATATTTATAAAGGTAACATTTGTTTCCCCATTTGTAACACTAAGATAAGATGCCTCTATGCTTGCTAAAAAGAGCATCCTTTACCCACAAATAAATGCATTTAAGAAACAATGAAACCCTTAAAATCAAATTTAAGCTTGACATTTCCCACTTAATAGATAGAAAGGATGGTCCAGTGACTACGGTACTAGCCTGACAGTCAGGACACCTGAGTTAAGTTCCTTGCTCCATCAGAAACTTCTTGTGCTTTCTTGGGCAAGTCCCTTAGGCTAGGATCCATGAGGGGGTTTCAGTGTTGCAATGCTGAGAGTCAAGGTAGCTAACTTTTGGGCAAATAGAGAATCACAGGAAGAACACTGTGATCCACAAAGCCGAGTAAGGTGCCCAGGCTCACAAGGCAATGAGCTGCTTAAGCTAGCCACTGGGAGATGCTGAGGAATGTGCTAAGCCCTGCCTCCAATTTCCACCCCACTGGCAGATACTTAAATCCAGGAAGCTAAGAATCACATAGCTCTACTTGCCAATTCATGAATGGGCCCTGGAGTCAGACAGGTTAGATCTTTCAGGCATTCTGTCTCCTTTCCTTCCACTTCCTCCTAGAGATGGAACACCACGAATGTGCTGTTTGCAGCATTCCAGCTCTTGGAGGGAAGAGGAGAAGCAGAGACAGAACATATATCAGTCCATTTGCTGCTCCAAAAGTGCTGGGAAGGAGGGTGAGGAGGAGGTAAGTGCAGGGCTCCAGTGCCCCAATGTGCAAGAGAGTGAGGGGGAGGGAGACAAAAAGGAGTCCACAAGTGGAACCCCAGTGGGGCTC